TTGAAACACTGAATATCTAACCAAAGAAAAGTGAAGGTAGCTATCTACTGCTGCAATAATGTAGCAAAGAAACAGAAACTAATTAATCAAGGAGAAAATGTTTTAAATATGACAAATGTAATTACAATATAGTGCTGTTGTATTTCTTTCAACTATAGGACTGCACATATTTGAATTACAATAAGCATGTATTCACACAATATCTTTGTAGCTAAAATAATGTTTAGATAAAAATTAAAGAGCTTGAAATGAGACAATCCAATATACAGACGGAGAACAATTATTACCACTCCCTTTTATTTTATCATGAATCTAATAACACTAAAAGCTAGCTGTATATTCTGGTATAGCTAATGTTAGGTTCAGTTCAACTCGGTTAAAATATGCATTATTGGGGCAGGTGTTGGTGAGTGTTTTTCCAAGAGAAAACAGCCTAAGGTCTGAGTGGACTACGGGGAAAATCCAGCCCGCAGGGAGGCGGGCACCACTCAGACAGACAAGAGGGCGAGAACAATTCAGAGAAAGGACAAATGTGTTGATTTATCGCCTTAGCTGAGATCTAGTCCTCTCCATGAGAACCAGGCTCCCTGGCCTTTGGACTCCAACATATACTAGCAGAACTTTGGGCTCTCAGGCCCTGAGCCTAGACTAAGAGGTAGGCCTTCACCTTCTCTGATTGGAGGAAGCCTTTGGACACAACTGACTCACACTGTTGACACCCTCAGCTCTCCAGCTTACAGCTGGCTGCTGTGGAATTTTTGTCTCCATAATCACATGAGCCAGCTCTCTTAATCAGTCTCAGCTACCTACCTATCCGTGTACCCATCTCTCTATCCACCTACCCACCCATCTCCCTATCCAGCCAGCCAGCAGCCATACATCTATCATCCACTATCTCCAACTGGATCTGCTTCTCTGGAGAACCCTAATAGTATCCACTCCATTAATGTATTAATCACTCTAGAAGTAAAGCCAGGCAGGGTGGAGCATGCCTGTAATCTCAGCACTTCAGAGGCTGAGGCAGGAAGATTGTTCTGGGTTCGACGCCAGCCTGGCCTACATACTGAGCTCAAAACCAGCCTGAACTACATAGGGAGCCCCTATCTCAAAAAACAACAATCTAGAAGTGAAGTAATCAAAAAATAGAAACAGATAATTGGAACTATAAAAAAAAAAAGAGGAGTCATATATTTCTAAGTAACCTGCATTCCAAACCACAAATTATAAAAAGGTAAGTAAATAAAATCCACTTGCTTTGATGCCACTTTTCCATATTGGCTTAACCTTCACTGTGGATTTGCCGCACTAAAGTCTGCTGGGGGCTAAGAGCTTTGCCCAGGGGTAGAGCACTTGCATCAGAGATCCCCGAGTTCGATCCCTGCACAGCCTCCCCAATTTTTTAAAATTAAAAATAAATGTTTAAAAGAAAATATATATGAAAATATCTGTGGGACTTTTATTTAAGCCTTGAGCAAGGCTCAAAGCATAGGAAGTATGAACCAGCAGGTGCTGCAGACTCTCTGGGTCGGGAGCACACATGATACTATCTGAACCTCAGAAGTCGGGGTCCTGGATCCACCAACTGATCTAAGGGTAGAAGGTAGAATTCTGTGGCTCCTCCAAGCATTATGGGTGACTTTTCAATCCCAAACTTAAGGTCTGTTTCCTTCAGAAGCACCAAGCACCATAGCAGTAACCAGAAAACAGGCACTGCATAAATTACAGGACGCTCCACTCCTACCTAAGGTTCCCATTATTTGTGGGGAATTACGGTTTAAAAATATGAGATAAAAGCTGAGCGTGGTGGTGCACACCTGCAACCCCAGCATTTGGGAGGCTGAGGCAAAAAGATCACCAAGAAATTGAGGCCACCTTGGGCTACATAGTGAGTTCAAGACTTATCTGTACTACATAGCAAACTGTTGTCTTAAAAATAAAACAAAAAACAAAACTTAAATCAAAAATTCTAGAAAGAAACAATTCATAAGCTTAAACTGTGCATCATTCTGAGTACCGTGCTGAAATCTCTCCGCCCCAACAAGACAGAAACCATCCCTTTTATCCAGGGTCTATGCTGCATACACTGCCCTCCCGTTAGTCATCTCAGCTGTCAGCTCAGCTGTCCTGGCATCACAGTGCCACGATTACTTTGTGAAATAAAATAAGTAACAATTATTTTATTTAATAATAGCCCCAAGTGCAAAGGTAATAATTCTGGAAATTTGAATAAACTAAAGAAAAGGCATGAAGTATTTCCTTTAAGTCAAAAGGTAAAAGTTAACCAGAAGTATTCATGTACAGGAAAGAAGAGTACGTACAGGGATTAGTGTCATCTGTAGTTTTCAGATACCACTCAGGGTCCTTTTTTTTTCAGTTAAGTTTATTGATACAATTCAAGTATCCACAATGATCATACTCATAATAGGGAATTTGTGCCTGTATATATATATATGCTTTGATTCCTCCTTTTTCCATTCTCCTCCCCTCCTTTCAACCCCTCTTCTCCTTATTTACAAAGCTTTGTCTCCATTTTATCCTTCTTTTATTGTTCTTTTTCTTTCCCTTCCTTCCCCCCCCCCCGCCATTCCTCTTTCTCATGAACCATTTCTTCCTATTTCGCAAGACCTAGTATAATCTTTTGTCCTTATTTACACTTTTGGTTTCTCACCCCGGAGAAACAATGCGATATTCACACATGCATGACAAATAGATTTCACTTAAGAGTATGGTCCCAAGATGCATGCATTTACCTAGAAAGGTCTCAAGTGTATCTTTCTTGATGGTTAGTAGTATTTCACTATATTTTTTTTTAGATTATTTTATCCATTCCTTGGCTGATGGGCATTTGAGTTGTTTCCAAGATTTACCTATTACAAACTGTGCTGCTACATACACATGCATGTGCATATATCACTGAAGTATGACGTTTTATCTTCTGGGAAGATACAGCAGAGGAATACCTGGGTCGAATGGGCCCTTTAATCCTGTTTTTTGAGCCAATGCCACACTGATTTCCACAGTCTACACTCCCACCAACAGTGGAGGAGGGTTCTGTTTTTCCCCACAGCCCCTGCAGCATTTGTTACTGGCAGATTTTTTGATGGTGGCCATTCTTCAGAGTGAGATGAAATCTCGGTGTTGTTTTAATTTGCATCTCTCGAATAGCCAGTGATGCCACACATATATTTGTATGTTAATTTGCTATTTGTATTCTTCCTTTGAGACGTGCATATGCATCTCCAAAGGGTCTTTAAATTTAGGGGAGTCTGAATTTTTTCATTTCTTTGTACATATTAGTCCCTTGCCTGAGGGACAACTGGCCAAAATTTAATACCTGGGGTCTTGAAATGCATTCCTTTGGGTAAGAAGGGCCCACTGCCACTTATTTTCTATAGATTAAGCATTCTAATCTAAATAAAGTATAATCCAATTTCACCATTTGACCAAAGACTGTCTCTATTTTGATCTCTACTGTGCCTAGTGCCCAGTGCACAGCACACAGTATATGCTCAACAAATATACATTAAGTAATTGTGATTTGGACCAGAAATGCATTTGGTACACCTGGAGCTCGCCGATGGAAGAGCAGACCACGCACTAGGTGACACTGATGGAGTCTCAAACGCAGACACAGGACTATGTCACTAACAAGAAGGTGATCGCACTTCCAGTACCTGACGGCTCCAAGTCACACCCTGCTTCTCTGTGGGGTGTACCTGACGGCTCCAAGTCACACCCCGCTTCTCTGTGGGGTGAGGGAGGTGATTCTGTGAAACCGGCTGCCAGGAAATCATTCAAGCACAGTGTGATATGTACAACATGGACTGCGGAGTCGTTGATGTAAAGAAGAAGAAGGATTTGGAAATGGGGATATTACCTTCAGCACTGATTTGTCAGTCTGTGATTGAGTGAAGCCACTTGGAAGAGGGCAATCCGCGTGAAAGCAAAGCAAGAAAGATAACGAGTAAAGAAGTAAGCTGTCAGGCTGCACATCCCACGCACTGTTATTCCGGACTGCACAATCTATCATTTATACAAACTGTCTTACCAAACACACTAGTGAATCTACAGCATAGTTATAATACAATGCAAGATTTCTTTTAGAGGGCATCTCCAACAATGGTTTCTAGAAAACTCATAACCGCAGGACAGAGCATCACCGAAGCCCACGTTCTAAAGGACCAAAAAGACTTTGTAAGCACAAAGAGATCAGATGCAGAGGGTGCTACATTTAGAAAACAATCTACTTACTAAGGAACATGACCTTCACCCAGGGAGCTGCAAGCGAGTCTTAACTGCAGCAGAGGGCCACAGAGAGCAGGGAGTGGTCATTAATTGCACACACGGCTCCGAAACTCTGCTAAAGCGGGGCAGATCACTGGATGTCTTAATGCGCAGGAGGAGACCCCAAGCTCAAATGGGAAACAAGGAAAGGCACCCTTGGGGTTCCAGGAAGCAGGCATAGGAATCCAGAAGAAATCTGCACCTGGGCAGGGAGGTCTCTAAGCGTTCAGCCCTGCCCCTGTCCACTATCCCCAGGCCCTCAGTAGACCAATGGCTAGAAACAGCAAGGTGTCTCCTGCAGGCCTTGAAAGGCCCCAGAGAGGGCAAAGGCTCTGCCCAATGCAAAGAATTCAGGGGTTGTGAACAGCGCTGGGGACAGGGCAGTGGAGCAGGCCTGGGAGGGCAGGAGGCAAACAACCGGGAGGAGAAAGCAGCAGGAACACTGTCTCGGCCTGCAGACTCCTGGGGAAGAAGAAAGCCTGGCCTGGGAAGCAACAGCCCTGAATGACAGCCCCCCATGCGCCTCGCAGGGCACAGGTGTCACGGCCTCCAGAGCGGACCTGAGTGTCCTCAGCATCCTCAGGGAATCAGAAGCCAACTAACCCAGAGCCCCAGGAACAGCAGGCAGGCATTAAAAATCCACCACAAGTGTCTCTCACCCCAACCACGCTGAGGGCTGGGGTGCCCTCTACAGTAATGAAAGTGCACTCACTCACATGCTTCCGGAGCCAGGGGGCCTTGGATAGCTTCATGAAGGTCAAGTGAGGCTTGTAACTTCTGGTTTCTCCTGCCAGGACGCCTTTTTCTTGAAACGTCCTCTTTGCAATCTCTGAAAAACATCAAAAGAACACAAAATTGGTACTGTAACTACACAAGCATTTGGAACTAGTTATTTCAACTCCAGAAAAATACAAAGCAATAGAAGTACCAGGATCTAAAATTCCATACAGAAGATATTTATTAAAACATTATCCTGAATTAACACTGATTAGAAACAACCATCAATAAAAATCTATCTGAGCTTAAAAAAAGAAAGAAAGAAAGAAAGAAAGAAAGAAAGAAAGAAAGAAAGAAAGAACCATCAATAAAGAAACGGTTGCTACATTAACTGAGCTTGGTGTGGGGGCACACACCTCTAATCCCAGTACTCGGAGGCTGAGGCAGGAGGACTGCAGTGATTTAGGGCCAGCCTGGGCTCCACAGAGATTCAAGGCTAGCCTGGACTACAAAGTCAGACCCCGTCTCAAAGAACCTACACACACAGATCTCAAAACTGACACTAGCAGTTCTATCTTTCTTTGAGTACACAAGCACTGCACTTGAATACACAAGTAGAATTTTTTGCCATAAGGGAAAAACTCAGTTTTTGAAGCCCATTATAAATAGCTTTTTGTTTATCTCTATCTAAAAATAACTGAGGCGAATGCCAGTGAGGTGTCCTTAAAGCCAGCTAAAACTGAGAAGTCCACCCTCAAGGTCTCGCTCCTTGTTAGGGGTGAAAAGGAGCCACAGCGCTGGGGGCCCAGCTGCTGCCCTGGCCACATTTCCCTCTAAAGTTCAGGGTTCTAGAAACTCTTAGAAATTAAAAACTGTTGGGCTGGTGAGATGGCTCAGTGGTCTAAAACACCTACTTAGAACAAGCTAAGTAGGGCACGGGGACCACGGTTCAATCCCCCAGCACCACATGCCAGCCAGCCCCGCCCCCTGGTAGGCTGAGCTGGCCACACACACAGAATAAATGAAATTAAATAAATAAATAGAAAGATTTAAAAAAAAAAAAGAAATTAAAAAATGTTTTACAACACAGTATGAGACCCAAAACCACACTTTGGTCTTAAGCACCAGTCCCGTGGGAGTCCAGAGATCAGTACAGATGCACTGAGTGTAACCAGAAGAGCTTGGATGACACAAAACTCAGCATCTCTCTGCCCTGCCGGGACTCTTCCTACGCAGCATAAGGTCTCACTTTTCTGCCTGGGACACTGAACTGAAACAGATGTGCAGGTGAGCCAAACAAAGAGACCCTCTCATCCTTCCTGCGAGCATGAGGGGTTCAGTTAGAATGGCTGGTCCACGTAAAAATAATACAATAATACAATAATGTGAATATAATTCACAGAGAATAGCAGTTTCAAAATGGAAGTCCAAGGACAAAAGAAAAACCTCGTGGAAGCTTTTTGTGTACTGCTGACCAACATGCTGTCAGTGATGCGTGCCAGGGGTGTGGCCATGCTGGGCTAGCTGGCCTTAAGAGCAGAGTTGTTATTATTTTCACTTTTAAAAAATGAAGACACTAGGACTAAAATGTCCATAGTTTACTCAAAAATACTCAGGTAGGTAATGCAGAGAACAGAATTTGAACCCAAATTTGAACTATAAAGTTCACACTGCCTCCTTCATGAAGAATCCAAAATCTTCCTTCTCCTCTATAAGAGATGTCCCTCGAACAAAAGCTAAAGGCAGCTGAGATAGACTTGTACACCAGATCTGGAGCACAGTCAGCAAACTCCAATGTGACCTCTTAATCAACAAATATTAAGAACCTAGAAAAAAAAAAAAAAGTGGGGCCGGGGAGATGGCTCAGTAGAATAAGCTCTTGCCTGGCAAGTGCAAGGCCCTGAGTTCAATCCCCAGTTCTGTAAAGAAAAA